TCTTCTTATTATAGGCGTGCATCGCTATAATAACTGCACGCTTTGATTTTTGTGGACAACAACTATGCGTGGCTTAACATACGTCACGCACTCCGTTGCTCTTATTGGTTGTAGGTCTATCCAATTGAGTGCAGAGGCATTTTTTTTCCTGGTCCGTTCAAAACACGCCCCATAATCACAGCTCTATGGAGCAGTATCAGACTCATATTCTGACTAGAATTGAGTCGGACTACGCCAGGCTAGGTCCTCCCCTGGAACTGGGCAGAATTTAAGGGGCTAATAAAAGGTAAGATTTTTTTTAGCAATTTGTGCTTGTTATCAATTATTTTGTTAAACGTGGCTGGAATAAATACTTAATAAATTAAATTAATAGAATTAATATCAGACCAGTTTCCGGGTAGACAAATTTCTTTAGTTACATGATTCAGTACATAAAATGCAATTGATGGTATGTGTTCTGAATATAAGTGTTCACTGGGGGCTGCCTAGGGATCAGTGTTATGTCTCCCCCTGTTCATTATGTGCATTAATTAGTTAGGTCAAAATGTGTTTGAGTCTAAAATGTATTTCTATTCATGTGATATAATATCTTAGCATACTGGCTCATCCCCTGCTAAAGTACTTGAATATTTTATTGTTGTCCAGCACACTTCTTCAGCTAAAACTGGTCAAGTAAATATCATAGAGGTTCATAGTCCTGATGAAAACTATTTTTTAGCATCAGAGGGGAATCGTATGCATTTTATTTTTCCAAATACTCTGTTCCAGAGATGACAACTTCCGTCTTGTTTAAATTCAAAAGATCATGTAAAGTAATCCAGATTTATATTTCTTAAAGATAGGTTTAATCTATTTCATTGGTTCCCATATTTTAGATGGTCTTTCCTCTAACCCTCATGGGGAGAGTTAATTCAGTACACTTCAAAATTTGAGGCAATGCATGAACTGATCCAACATGATGGAGTGTGTATTCCTGCCCAACATATTTTGCTAGCAATGATGGAGCAGACATGGAATGTAGTCGGTATGAGCTGGCCTTAGATTCATTTGCTGCGGAAGCCTGTTATTCACTCATTGATCTCTGGTGTGTAAAAAGAGCAGCAAGAATGGGAACCAATGGTTCTTCTAACTGGCTAAATTTTAAAGATTAATATACAGATATAGCTGGAGATCATCAATCTAGCAGTATATATTTATCCCTTGATGTCAGATTTAGCCACTAGAACTCAAATCAGTCTGTAGTTCTCATCCCTGTAAGATATTCCACCATCATGTTAAGGCCTGCATCCTCACTTGATCACAAGAATCTAGTTCATTAGAAGTCTTTGGATTTACCGGCCTTTATTTGGTTAGGATTCAGCAAAACATGAGATCTTTAAAGTACAGGATAGCAAATTTCACCAATCTTCTCAGTTTTCTGTCTGTTCCTCTACTAATGTTCAGTTCTATATACTTTTCAGACTGACTTTAATTGGGGACAACCCCAGTAAAAAGTAAGACATTACTTTTAAAGGAGTTTTTTTTATTTTTAAAGCAGTTTTTTTTAATCTTTGTAGCAAAAACATCTATTATCACATTAAGAACACCTAAAAATCTTAGTACAGTAAACCAAACAAAGGTGTTTTTCTTTTTGATCAAGCACAGGAAAGAACATGGTATCCTTCAATCTTGGCTTTATAGATACATTCTTAATCAATAACATCTGTCATATTGAGCAGTGACAGTTAGAGAAATTATCAAAATTCACTTTTATTTGATAAGTTATCAATACTCACTCCCTGTTCAAATTTAAAAATATAATTTCATATGAAAATATTCCGTTTATACCCTTAAAATAATGAAAGAGAGACTTGCATTGTCTTTGTGGATGCTTTATTGCAAGATTTGGTCGATAGGAAAGCAACATTAAAGCAGGATTACGTATATGTTAGCATTTAGCATGGTTCACTTTAAATGTTAATATCTTTCACAAAAAATGGACAAAAATACATAAAAAAATAGCAGGAAATGCATTTCGTAAAAAATAGCTCACAGTTTGCCAGAACCTGATTTACTCCCTGGCTTTGAAAACATTTTCATTGCATCTCCGAGCAGAACACTATTTCTGGTGTAAAACGCTTTGGTCAAAGAAGGGTCCATGGGGGAGGAAATGTACTCATCGCATCGTTTGCCACCGAGGCTTGGTGCACACTCCACCAGGTAGGTAAAGTAGAACGTACCATGATCAAACATGCAGGTGTCTGTCACAAGCCCTCTACGGAGATCAAAAGAGCACTGACCAAGCAGATCACGGTTCCACTTTGTATCCTCATCATAAACAGAAAATTTCAGCTTGTTTTGCATGTTGATAACAATGGGTCCAAAATCAAATTTTTCGGGCCACCTAGGATTGTCATTGTCACTGATTATTTCGGTGCGCTTTAGCTGGTCCCCATACTTAACCTCCACTGAACCATCCGTCTCTGACCACGTATCACCATACAAACCCTTTGCAAATAGTTTGTACACCTTCAGTGTTGCGAGACCTTTCCCAGCAGGACAGCAGTTTGACTTAATATTCTGGTTGCTATTACAAACACAAGCACAGGGATCCCTTTTGCTGGACCTGTGTCCAATTTGACAGGATTCAGAGCATTTCCTCAGCACTACATTTCTCATAATGTACTGCTCCACCTCTCGTTTCAGACCATTTTTTGCATGATGATTATCTGGAAGTATCATGTGCAGTGGCTTCAAGTTATACTGAACTACATCAGGTGTGGTTTTAAGAGAGTTTAACCAGTTTTTATACACATCAGGGTCTGAACCACTTTCGAAAAGTACAATTCCCATTTCATCCCCTCCAATAACCTCAGTAATACGCTCATTGAATTCTGAACTAAAACTCTGAGCAGAGCTCAGTTTCTTCTTCTGTGCTTCACAGTGTTTACCCATGGCATTGACACTAGCACTATTAGCAAAGGTAGCTGAGGCTTCAACCGTTAAGCAATCACTAACATCTGTTGCTGTCAGCCCATCCATGGTTGCCTTGCAGGTCTGAAAAGCTGTTGTTGCCTTTATTTCCCCTCCAAGATATACCTGTGTTATGTAATGAGTACCATAGGTGTCAATCACTTCACGATACGATGATGCCTTTGAGGGAGGAGATGGAGGGAGAGCGTTTACAGCTGACATAAAATCAGGACTCAAAGGAGGATTAGTGGTCAGTCTGTACCTGTGAAGCACAGAAGAATGAAAAATAAGTTACAGCTGCAATTAAAATACAAAACATAGATATGGGAGTTGGAGGGTTTGATTCCTAAACTAATAGCTTGTGTTCTTACTGTTTACTTCACAGGCATGGTACCAGCTTCTTATATCTCTTTGATAAGCAAGTCTTGATTTTATGATGTGCATTCCATGTAACAGTTCAATTGGCACTGACCTACTGTAACTTTTGACATTTATGAACAATTCTCATACTGAACTGACAGAAAAACAGATCCTCAGCATATAGCGGAACAGATCTATGTACTGCAGCATATTCAAATAAAAGTATTGATATTAATGATATGATAATATCAGCGCTATAGGTAAACCGCCTGGGACCTGGGAAGCCATAAGAATGCGCCATTCTGCCAAATGGCAGCGTTCTGTGGCATGCATGGCCTCAGTCAATCCGTTCCCGCCTCAAGGAACTGAAATTTCGATTGCAATGTAAATGGTAGTTGACAATAAATACATTTGATTGATTGGTTGATGATAGAGGGACAAGTTACTACTTCTTGTTATAGCACTGAGAGGCCTCAGAATCCAATTTTAAAGTAAATATATATCTGATTTAAAGTAAATATATATCAATTGTTAGATATAATTTTTATTTTGTAAGATACAACTCTATCATGGTGAAGATGACAGCTGCTGCTTGTCTACAGTATGAAGCAAACAATCTGACAAACTTTATCTCAAGTGGGGCTGATGCCTATCCCTAGTTGTCTACAGGCAAGAGGCAGGGTACAGGGTGGACAGTCCAATGCAGAGACAAACAACCACTCAGACACACACTCACACCTAAGCAGAATTCAGAGAAGCCAATTAACCATGATTTTGGACTATGGGAGGAAACCGGAGTACCCGGAGAGAACCCAAACATGCTCAGGGAGAATATTCAAATTCCACGCAGAAAGACCCCAGGCCAGGAATCTAACCCAGAACCTTCTTGAGGTATATACCGCCAGGGTGGTATATTGATAAAGCCTGTTTTGTTGCTGTAAGAACAGCTTATGCCCATGCTGACATGCAGTAGGATTTGTGAGAAAACACCACAGCATGCATGTACTGGGTAGCTGCCCAGTTCAGTAAGGAGCTTCTGTATAATTTAAAACTATTTTTGAGATTATTTTGTATTATTTTTTTTTATTTTCTTCATACAGCATGCTTGTCAAATTTGAGTTTAGGATCTAAACCTAATCTAAGATATTGAAATTCTGTAACTGGAAGAATTACAAAATGTATTTCTTAATTTTGTAATTGAACATTAAATCTTTCTTTCAATTCCAGCTTTCTGATGTAGAAACACATAGTAACTGCTTTTGACAGATTTAAAAGTGACTTATTTTGGATGAGTCACTGTTAGATATCAGACATTTTGGTGGACAGTACAGCTGCAGGCTGCTCAGGTAACTCAGTGGCTGCATAAAGAACTGCATCATCAGTATAGAGCGAATAACTGGCACCTCAGTATAATCTTAAAGAGTTAAAAGATAAACGATAAAAACTGTACTGTGTTTTAAAGCGCTTTTGTTTAGATTTACTTTTGCTTTTAATTTTTTTTTCTATCAGACTTTTCATCTGATAGCAACATCTCCTAACATTCAAAGTGACTCTGAGAGTCCAGTGGTCAAATTGTATATCCATTTTATAACTATCACTAAATGCTAAGTCAGTGAAGTTCTGAGTTATAGAGGACGGCAATATTAAAATTCATAGTTTGTGATAGAGTAGCCCAGTCAATTGTGTTTGCTCATCACAATTGAATGTATTATTTTTTACGGTTTGATTTTTTATTTTGTCGTATTGCTTGTTCTTCCCTTTTATCTATGATTTTGCATTATTATGAAAATGTAATTTTTTCACACTGTTTTATAAACCATGGTACTATTTCAAACATTCTACAATGAGCACAAAAACGAAACATCTATTTTATTACCAGTAATCCATCTGCATACTCACCTATAAAAGTTACAATTAATGGATTGGCGGGCAAAGAAGTACCGATCTTCTTTGGACTTTTTCATTCCAAATTGGGAAGCCCTGGAATGTGACCCTCCAGCGCTAACACCAATAGTGACTGACGGGTCCACAGGAATATTCAGACCAATTTTCCAGTCATTGGTCACAGATGATGTAGAATCGTTCGTGAGCTGTTCAGCAGAGTCGTAGAGTGTGCTGGAGACCTTCATGGTGCACTTCGGGAGGGTTCTCCAGTCTGTCACAGCAACTGGGACCTTCTGGTACACTCCTGCCTGGTAGCTGTTTCTGTACATTTTACAAGTGCCATTTCCAAGGTTCCATGTTTCAGTGTCGATGACATAAGCCCCCTTCCTCTCCATCGTCACAATGTCAAAGCCCTCTCCACCCAGATTGTAACCTGGTACAAAATGAGCCTTTTCACATTGCTGTGGTGAACCAATGAAGCTCAAAATGGATGAGAGACTCAGAGGAATCCACATCAAAAACAGAAATATGAGCTGCCACATGTTTGCCATCTACAAGAAAAGAACATAAATGAAACTCAAAACAGATTAATCAGGATGGACTTTAAAATACAAAATGTACTCACTGAACAGGATGGCAATAATAATAAAAATTAAATGAAAAAAAAAAAACACTTTTATTTTAAACAGTTAAATAAAAAATAGGTGCAGATGAGGGGTATAAAGCTTGGTATCTTACCTTCACTGTAGATGGCAAGCTCTGCTCGGTGATTTCCACTTACTTGTTTGATATACAGTGCTAATGCAGAGGGAAGTTACTGTGTACAAGTGTGATGCTTGCAAAGGTCATTTATATTATTCTAATTTTGCAACTGTTTTTTTCAACTGAAGCAAAATACAAAACAGCTGTAAAGCTGGTGATAAAAGCATATTTATTTTAATCATTTTAATGATCCAATAAAACTTGAAAATATGATACATCTGAAAGTTTTCACTTTAAAACAAACATTGAAGAACATACATTTTGATGTTGTAACTGTATCTCAAATCCTTCAGCCTCTTTATTCTCACGCTTTCAAAAAAAAGATTTTCTCCAATGTTGAACAACCTGTTCATCTTTCAACCTTTATAAGACTGATGTTTATTTATATATATAATTACCAGGCTTAATTTGTCTTAAAGAAAAAGTCTGGTCACATTTAGAATACAAACTTCTGAAAGAATTTTAAGTATGAAATTATGACATACTTTTCAATGAAGGATAAGTGTTTTTAACTAAGAGTACTTTTCATCCATGTTCGTCAGAGAACACTACTGCCACCTAGTGGTTTGTGACGTCACATTGTGGTGTCGGTTGTTGAGCAAGTGGCCGTGTATCTGGTGTTTGTCACAACATGCTATTATCCATGATGGCGACAACCAGTGCACTATGCGTCATGTTTTTTCTCTGGCCAGAAGTTCGATGGCAAATCTGCCCACTTGAAGTTGGCAATCCAACGACAAACCCATCTGTGGTGGATCATGAATTCGAAAGGTGAAATTACTCATTTTCTTTTCACTTTTACCCGATGTATTAAGACATTCAATTGCCATGCACGTGGGCATTGTCCGTTTAACTATAGCTCTTGAAAATTGCAATGGAGAAGTCCTCTGGAAATCTTAAATAATTGTTGTCGATTGCAGATGTGTCTATTTGTTTCCATTGACTTTGCTTGTGAAGTGGTGAGAATGGCGCTAGGCTTACAAGCACCGTGACCTCACTGCCAGATGTCAGGAGTGATGTGTTACTATACTTGTGCAAAAATATCTGTTCCCGAACTCAGTGATTGCAACCAAAAATATTGTTTTACATTTTTTTACTGATGAATGCTAAATTCATTAAATCACCGTAAACGTATTATTTTTAGGTATAAATAATGACCCATTGGTTATTCTTTGCTGACCAAACTTTTCCTTTTAGTGATCAAGGAGTATATTTAATGATTTTTATTTTTTTCTTTGGTTCTTTAGTTTACATTAATGTACGCAAAAGTGTCTTATTAAACACCCAAATCTTCTAGATCTGTAAACAAAATGATATCATTTTCACAATTCTGTTTTAGTTGCAACACTTTTCTTTCAGATTAAGGAAAGAAGTTAATGTGGAATCAATACATTCTGACAAAAAAAATAAATAAATCATAAATAAGTGTCATCTTTAATGGTTTGTAGAGGTTGATGGATATATCTTGTTGTGACTTACAGCCTTAAGATATATGTGAATACATGCAAAGAACAAGTCTCAACAAAATCCTCTTGTCTAGATGTTTTAAAAGTCTCAGAATACTCTATGAATTGGTCTACAATTGCAATCAGGAAATATCAAATATTTGGGAATTGCTGTGTCATCTAAATTAGCTGAGTTACCAAAACTCTACCACATCCCTCTTTTAAAAAAAGATAGAAGAGGATCTAGAAAGATGGAAATCGCTTCNATAGAAGAGGATCTAGAAAGATGGAAATCGCTTCATTAACAAAAATAAATTCTTAGAATATCAGCAAATTAAACCTATAATTAGACAAATACATTTAAAATTAAGCATATTGATGGAGGTTTACAAATTCCAACTAATATATCAGAGTTTCTAGAGTTAAACCCCCCCAAACTACTGTCTAAATTATACAGGACACTGACTAAACTGGATGATACAATATCTTCCTATTACTGAATGGGAGGAGGATTTGTCAGCTAGCTTTAAACAAAACATCTGGGCCCAGATATGTCTAAGAACTTTAAACATGACTAGAAACCCCAATTTACAATTAAAACAATACAAAATCCTCCACAAAGAGCACTATACAGATCACCACCAGGGTTTGGTGGTGGCGGACGTGGGCTACTGGCCTGGTAGCTGTGCTGCTGCTCGGTGGGTCCGGGCATCTGGGATCCCTGGGGCGCGTTGCCCTCGGGCGGGGGCCCCAGCAGGGCGTCAGGGGCTCGGGTTCTGTGGGGAATGCACGGACATTAACACCTATGGCAGATGCTTACCCCTTCAGGGGTTTGCACTCTGCTAGTGGGGGAAGGAGAGGGAAGGGGAGGGGGAATGATCTCGACCTGGATGTCTTTTGTCGCTTGCCTGGTGAGTGGTTCGAGTGTTAATGTAGGGGAAGGATCACAGGAGGAGGGGCTGGGGGTGGTGATGGAGGGAAGAGGATTTTAGAAAGGCTTCGGGTCTGGCTCCCTGTCTCTGTCCTGGTCCGTCCCGCCCCCTGGTGGAGCTTCGTCTAGGGTGGGGGCTCTGCGTGTTGCGCGTGGGCTGGCCGGCCAGGCTTGTCCATCTACCCAACCTTTTTTCTTTTTGTGGATGGACAGGATGGGGGGGGGGTCGCCACTCTCCTCCCCCCCATCCGGATTTTGGGTTCACTTAATTGGTCATCCGATAAACCCAGGACCAACCACCAGTGCCGCCGGGTCTTTGGTCCTGGTATTATTGGATGTGAGTGTTATGTGTGAATACTGTATGTGTCCGCGTTTTGTTTTTTTTTCCTTCTTCTTCTGTGGTGCGATTGGGGGCACTAGGGTGGGAAGGAGTGTTGGAGACTGTGAGTTTTTTTTTTTTTTATCTCCAAGGTTGTGGTATGTACTGCTCCCTCTCCCAAGCACATCTTAAGTCTCCCCTAAGTGTGGAGCCCATTCCCCCGTCCTGCTCTCCCTCTGCTGCCTGGCGTCGAGGCTCGCCCGTGCACTGCTGGAGCTCGGGGTGTGTGGGTCGATGCCCGGGTGGCTGCTGGCTGGGGCTCCTGCCTGGGGGTCGGGCGCCCCTGGGGCCTTGGATCCCTGGGGCCCAGGGCCGGATTCACTTCAGGGTGGCTGGCTGCCGGCAGAGCCCGTGGACTCGTCCCTGCCGGCATTGCAGTGGCTGGGGGGCTTCCTCGGGGCTGTCTCTCCTCCTCCCTTGGTGGGGGTCTGATTTCCTGGGCTGGCCCCTCCTTGGTGCCTTTGCTCTTGGGGTCCCTTTGGGCATCTGGGGCTTTGGGTCTCCCGGTGCTCTGGGGGGCCCCTCTTCAGCTCTCAACAACCACTATTGAGCATTATTTCTATGGATAAACTTTAGA